GCCTTCTGACGCAAATAGATCTTCGTCAGAATCAGGTTCTTGATCTATTGTAGCAGTAGCACCTATTGCTTCTGCAAGAGCTGTTTCGTGAGTAATTCGCTCCGTATCAAGGTGATACTCTCGCTTTTGGTACGTTCTACAAACGTCTTCGAACTGCGCTCTTGCTCGTAATCTTCGTGTATCGTCTATAGCATTTGGATATATCTTCTTAAATACTGTATGATTCATTCGTGGGTCGCAAATTGTAGCAACAGCTGAGTGCTTACATTGCCGATTCGTTGTAAGAGTATAATACTCATTAAGCTTTTGAAGCGCAGCTCCACAAGCTACTCCGATCGTAGAGCTTCTACCAAGCTCTTCTTGTAGTAATGTGACCTTATTTATCATCTTTAAGTAAAGAGGAATTGTAAAGTTGAGCGTTGGATATGAATCACTTTGTAGCCGTCTTGACGGCTTTAAGAATACTAAGAATAATCGTTCAAGAGCTTCGATAATAGCCCAATCGTTGCTTGTTAACGCAATATCCTTCATACTGATATCAAGCTTCTGCGTAGAGCATACTGCAGTAATTGGTATTCGAAGCTTTATAGCTGTTTCAAGCATATAGTACGTTGAATTCCAGCGTATAGGCATATCAAGTGATAGCTGGCGTGGCTTCTGGCCTGCAGCTTGTATCTGCTTCTGTAAAGCATCCTTCCATGCTCTTCGGTTTCGAAAGACATAAATATGCCTTCGGAGCTTCTCAAGCGTAGCTGATACTTCAGTAGAAGAGTTATCAATACGCTGCGGAATCCGGGCAAGCCCTTGCTGACACCAGTACGCTTCTGTTTCTGTATCCGGGCTAGCTTTCAAGCTCTTTAGAGTAGCTTGAACTGCAAGATTGATAATATGAGCAATACACCGAACGTCCCCTTCCTTTACAGTAAACGTCCATGGCTGTTGAATAGTCGTCTGCTGCTTACTGGCTATTTTCTCATATTCTGAAAGCATCACAGTATTCGCTGAGGCATTATCCCGCGTACAAGTAAATATAGCACCTGTAATTTCGAAGCTATCTGTTACTGCAGCTAACTCTTGAGCGAGATATTCGCCGCTATGAATTGGCTCTTGAAGGTGGATTACATCAAGTAATACGCACCGGTGCTGCCACTTCTCATTAATCCAATGGCCTGTGACAGCAGCGTACTCTGTATAGTTCCGTGCAGTCCATGCATCTGTTGTAATAGATATCCGGCCGCCATAGGTAATATGAGCCTGGAGTTCTAATTGTAGCAATCCTCGGTGATATGAGAATTGCCGCTGTAGCTCTCGGTGTAGTGTTCGCGACGATATCGATAGAGTACTTGGGCTTAAGAACTGTACTAATTGATGGAACGAATAGCTCTCAATAAGTCGTAAGGAGAGGTTATTTGATACAACGAATGAGAGTAATAACTCTCGGTATTTCGCTCTACTATTTGATGCTTGAGCTTGAGCGGGCTGGACTTGCGGGTTCCGCGGCCGTGGCTCAAAAAATAACGATGCACTACTTGATGGGCTTGACGGCGTAATTGTATGACCTTTCATTGTATATGCTACTGTTGGATGCTTCTGCGTATAGTGCTTCCAAAGATTACCGGTTGAAGTCTGACTTAATAGCTGCGGAGTAGGTGAATATCCGCAGCCTGGTTGTAAGCAAGTTACTTTGACTGTAGGTGGGTTACTATCAAGTATCAATCGCGAATATAATAGCTTCGTAAATAGTACCGACGACGTTGGTGGCAGCATTCGTCCTGGAGGCTGAAGCCGGAGCGGTGTAGGATTAATATCCTGTTGAATATGAATAGGGGGTGGCAGCGTTGGCAGACTTGGCTCATTATGAGTATCATAGCTATTATAGCCCTCAGGCTCCGTTGGTATATCTGATAACGACGAGTCGCTCATTCTGAGGATAATTATCACTTTATACAGCATCAATATAGATCTCACGGCGTTGGAAAAAAGAGGTCTTGGCTGCGCTTGGCTATTCTTGGCATGTATCCGGATATATACTCGAGAGTATCCGGATACGCCGGATACTCCTAAAATATCGCCGGGTAGGTATATACTCGAGGATATACCCGGATACCACGGGTATATTGGTATCCGTGCCGAACACTGGTTTTTACAGAGTAACTGAGTATTGGCCTCACTCACCGAGTCGAGTGAAAGGTTCAGCTACTCACCCAGCTGAGTAACCCACTGAGTGAGTGAGCCGAGTATTGGGCGAGTAGTGCGCAGCCTAGGCTCCACCTGCCCCTACCACTCGACAAATCCGAAATAACTCTCTCACTTAAACTCGTATCAGAAATCGGAGGTAGCCATTCTGTTCCGCTTGTAAACCTCTGTCAATGGTGGTGTCGAACGATAAATTCCGCCCGCTCCTGCAGAACATGTGACTCTTCTCATACCTAGCCCCCCACCACCCTTTGCCACCCATCGGAATCTGGAATACCTCGGCCATTTCAAGCCGTATCAAAAATCGGAAGACGTCATTTGATTCCCCTCGTAATTCTCCTTCAATGACGATATCGAACTTTATATTCTACCCATCGCTGCAGAAGCTATCGCCACTCACGTGCCATGCCCATACTGCACCCTTGCCACCCGGCGGAATCTGGGATATCTCCATCGTTTCAAACCGCATCGTAAATCGGAAGACGCCATTTTGTTCCCCTTGTAAATTTCTTTCAATTACGATATCGAACGTTTGATCTTGCCTCTCAGCTCTGCATTTATACCACTTCCCGTTCTATGCCCTCTTCTTCTTGCCACCCATCGAAATCCATTATAACACGATCATTTCAACTCGTATCAAAAATCGGAGGACGCCATTCGATTCCGCTTGCAAATCTCCCTTAATAACGATACTGAACGTTTGGTTTCGTCTGTTGTTGTAAAAGTTATTAGCCTCTGAAAACTATGCTCAGCCCCCCCCTGCCACTTACCGCCTGACAAGATCCGCCATAACTTGTTCGTTTCAACTCGTATCAACAATCGGAGTATGCCATTTTGTTCGTCTTGCAAAGTTGTCCAATTTCCCCTATCGAACGATAGATTTGATCCATCGCTGCAGGCGTTATTAGCCTTCATAAACTATACTCAGCCAGTCCCTCAGCCACCAAGCACCTGACGAAATCCGAAATAACTAACCCATTTTTTCTCGTATCAAAAAAAGGAGTACGCCATTTTGTTCCCCTTGCAATCCTCTTTCAATAACGCTATCGAACGTTAAGTTCAGCGCACTGCTGCACAAGTTATACCACGTCTCATATGTAACCACCCCCCTTGGCCTTCCTACCCACTGCCACCCGTCTAAATCCGGAATATCTTCACCAGTTGAACTCGGATCAAAACTTGGGATACGCCATTCGATTCCCCTTGTAAATATCTTCCATTGACGATACCGAACGTTAAGTTTCAGACGTCGCTGCAAAAGTTGGAATCCTTCTCACATGTTACCATGGGGCCCCATTTCCTGGGCCCGGCCCAACAAATCCGAAATAACTCACTCGTTTCAAGTCGTATCAAAAATCGTAAGAGGCCATTCGATTTCTCTTGCAAATCTCTTCCAATGACGATATCGAACGTTAAGTTTCCGCCGTAGCTGCAAAGGTTATAATCCCTCAGAGTAGGTGCTCCACCACCCCTACTGTCCCCCCAGCGAAATCTGCAATATCTCACCCGTCTCAACTCGTATCACAAATCGGAGTACGCCATTTGATTCGTCTTGCAAATCACTTTTATTAACGCTATCGAACGCACCATCTGCATGCCGCGTCAGGATATTACAATCCATCCTATAACATGCTCCCCCAATCACCCCTCCCATGCATCGCCCGACCAAAACCGGAATATCTCCACCATCGAAAGTCCGATCAACAATCGGAGTACGTCAATTTGTTCCCCTTGCAAAGCTGCACAGGAAACGTCAGCGAACGTTCCACTCGATTGCGAGACCGTCAACCTACCGTCCCTGCAAGAACGTGAGTCCGGAAATGGACCAGGAGACAAGCCCTCTACTCCTCCTCACCTGGCTGCCAGTTGCTCTGCTTCGTGAAGAAGACGCACGAGTACCGCGTGCCCTCGAAGGGCGCGATCCAGTGCTCGAGGACTGCAGAGCGGAACAGGACAACATCCCCTGGCTGGAAGGGAATCCTATAGCCAAGGGCTGGCAGGCACAGCTCCCCTCCCTCAAACTGAGTATCAGAGCAAGAGTGTTGCCTCGAAATATTCCAAAGGCTAGTCTGGCATTCGAGCTAGGGTTAGCATAGATGGTAGTTTACTATACTAATTACTATAAACCCTTACGCTCATCCCTCATCATCTCTAACATCCTACATGCTTCTCGCCATACTAACATCCAATTGCTCTCAACCCTATTCATCCTTTCTTCCCTCTCCTTCATCCATCCCCATATCTCCTCGGGATACCTCCCTTGGAACCCCCCTACTTCTGCCACTCCTTGTAAATACCCCTGTTGGAATAATATGAATATCCCTACTAGCATCACCCCCTCATACTCACACCTCTCTTCTGCCATCCTCACAACCCCCCCTTCCCACCGTCGACATACCTTTACTGACAATCCACACTCTTCGCACTGCCCTAGTCCTCTTAAATCAACCCCCCCACGCCATTCCTCATACCCTGCAATCCCACATCCCTCCATTTCTGCTTCCATACAATCAACGTACTCGTGCTGCCTCCCTTTGCCATATACTAGCTCGCAATATATGCATCCCCCCTTTAACCTATTCATCACCCCTCTCATCTGCTCTTCCTCTTCTTCTACCTCTTTCATCTTACTCTGAATCCTGCCACCCGTGCTTTCCCTGCCATCATTCCTACTACCATCATTTATAGTAACCTTTATAGTAATCGCCTCCTCCTCACCTCTCTTCCTTACTGCCACTTGGCTCAAACACAAATCGCATAGCACGCTGTCCGACCCTACACAGCTCACTCCCTCTACTACCCCATCAAAGTAGTGCCCTAATACTACTCGCCTGCACTCCCTGCTCTGGATATATTCCGTCATTGCATCCTCATCCACCTGCTCCACTGAATACTCGCTCATCAACCCTTGACTCTTTACCCCTACACTCTGTACTAGTGTGACAATTATCGACTCACTAACCTCTCCCTCTCTTCCTCCCCTTCCTGACTGTTGAGCAAAGCTCGTCAATCCATATGGCCTATCAATATGCACCACATATATGATCCCTGGAATATTAATTCCTGTCCCTAATGCTCCTGTCGCCACAATCCATCCTCCACTTCCTTGAGCCCACTTCTGTAGTGTTTCGCCCTTATCATCTGCGCGTGCCTTGTAAAATGAGCACTCTAAAGCACTGCTGATTAAGTCGCCAGTTGCATAGCTCCGTACATAAACCACTCCACGTTTCCCATCTGGCAAGTATAGTAGTCTTTCTAGTAATCGAAGTCCGACCGCAGATGCTGCTTCTTCCTTACTATCCTGCACCTGATATCGAATGGTCGGCCGTGCAGTGCTCCGTCGTAGTAGTACTGCATCCTCAATTAATAGCCTGTCTCGTAATACATCTTCTAGCTCAACCATCAATGTGGCTGTTAATGCTGTAAATGGACACTTTAAGTACCGTAGTTTCCACAGCTCTCGAAGCCGCTCTCGATATGATGTATCTGTAAATGCAACATGGCATTCATCAAAGAACATGTGAGCTAGCTGCCCATTCAACTCGTACCCCTTAGCCTCGTGGAGAAACTGCCCACTGACGGCCTGGTCAGCACTGACAACCAGCAGCTGCACCAACTCTTGACTACTATAATGATTACTATAGCTCCACTCTTTACAGTGCAGCCCAGCAGCCTGTCCTCGAGCCACGATATCTTCAACTAGTGCTGTGAATGGAACGACCACAATCACTGTCTGGTCAACAGCCATGGCAGCCACTGAAAAGAACAGCACTGACTTGCCACTGCTTGTGGGCAACACGATAATCGATGTGACTGGGGGCTGGTGAACAAGTTGTAGTGCTGCAGCTTGTCCTTCAGATCGTGGCTGCGCTTGTGGGCCATAGATCCGTCGCAACCCATCTAATGCCTTTGCCTTCACCCCATGCTTGCTCTCTCTCCTCTCTCGTTTGATGCCAACTGGTGTTAATTGCTGGCTGGCTTGTCGCCCATGCTTTCCTTTCCCCTCAGCCTGTGCCAACCCTAACAACTCGTGCCATGCTACTGAAGCTTGCTCATATGCTGTGATTAACTCTGGGCCTAGTCGATGCAAGAATGCTCCGTCAACTGCATAATGAGCTTGGGCTACTCTCTGCCCATGCCCTGATTGTCTGTTTAATGTTAGTACTAATTACCATAATGATTACTATAATAATTACTATAAACAATAGTACCATACTATGGTACTACCATAAATAGCGCTTACTATAATCATTACTATAAACTCACCTAACCATGATATGTCGGAATGTGTTCTGCTCCAACTCTTCTTCATCATCACCCTCTGCAAACTCTCCTTCATCCTCTTCATCGTCCTTCTCCCACGTCTTGCTTGCTCGTAGTAAATGCCGTACAGCAATTCCAATGGCTACGTGTCGCCAGCTCTGCACTGTCAACCGTACACCTAGCCCCTTACTTGTTGCCTTGCTTAAAGCTTGCGTGAGCTCTTCTCCTGCCCATGGCCCTCGATTATCACCAAACAAGTACTCTGACTCTCGTTGGTCTAATGCCCTGCCAAATGGTCGGATATATATCAAGTACTGTGCTAACACTTGACTGACCTCATTGGGCAAGAACCGAACAATGTAATCTGTGTTTCCCCTCCTCTTTCTTGCCTTATCGTACATGGTTAAGAAGCACATCTGCCCATTAATGACGTATATGTTCCGCGCTGAATACACACTGTTACTAACCTTGATCGATCCAATCTCTGGTCCTCGAGCTGGCTGGCCACCTGTGACATGCAAAGTAACCATCAACTTTCGTAAGAACTGACGCTCTTGATTCAAGTACGCCTGCTTCTGTGAGTCGTTCCATTTGTATGATCCATCGCCTGCTCTTTGAAGCAACTGCCACTCCTTGCTTCCCTTCCTTGCACTTTTAAGCAGATACTGATAACCTACATCCGTACGCTCTCGATTCTTAACATGGTTGATGAAGCTGTACTCAGACTGTCGAAATTTCGTGTTCCAAGCCATGCTGTCAACGATCTGGCTCAAATCTACCATGGGCAGCTCTGAATCAAACGCCAGATTGTATAGTAATCTTTGTAGTAATCCTATCAAGTCATGGCACATTTCCCTAACCTTTTCAAGCTCAACTCCCATTCCAAGATAATAAATCGTCTGTTCATCGCGTGACCAGTGCATGTTCGCTGGCGACTCATGCAGCTGGTTATACTTCTTCCCCATAGCTAATTGACTCAAGATGCTTGACGTTGGTGAGAATGAGCCTTCACAGAGATGGGTCCTCCGTAGCTTGTGGATTCGCTCGGGAATTGATTCAATATCCTCTTTGCTCTGGAGTCTTAATTCTGGCCATGGCTCTAATGGTACTGCGATCTCAAGCATAAGCAGCCGTGTGATCCATAACACACGTCCAAGTATTGGTGTGTATGCAAGTGGTGGATATAGCGATTTGGTAAGTGGATCGATCCCACGAACAGCTAAGTAATGCATCAATGGTGACTCGTACAGCCCAATCTTGCTAGTGTCCTGCATCACGACTAGCATGCACAGTCGCATCAATTCGGCTGTGAGTAATGGATCCTGATCGTCTTCATTATTGGGTTCAGTTTGCAAGTGCGTATGGATCTGTTGGATTGACTGCCACTGAGCATGGGTGAATTCCACGCCAGTTTCTAATGAAGTCAGTATAGTAAATATTATAGCAATCATTATAGTAACCCTTCACACACGTTGCCAATGTGCACTTCGCGCAGATGGTTTTGGGTTATATACTATAGTAACTACTATAGTAACCATCTACTCACTGTGTAAAGCTGTGCGCTTCACGCAGATGGGTCTGGGTTTGATTTATCCTACCACACAACCCTCCACACACGTTGTGTGACGCCGTGCGCTTCGCGCAGATGGGTTTGGGTTTGATATATCCCACCCCCTCCACACACGTTTCGTGATGCTGTGCGCTTCGCGCACATGGGTCTGGGTTTGATATATCCTACCACCCAACCCTCCACACACGTTGCAAGACGCTGGTGCGCTTCGCGTGGACGGGTTTGGGTCTTCTATAGTAACTACTATAGTAAACACCCACACGGGTCTGGGTTTGGTATATCCTACCACCCAACCCTCCACACACGTTGCGGGACGCTGGTGCGCTTCGCGCGGACGGGTTTGGGTCATATACTATAGTAACTACTATAGTAAACACCCACACGGGTCTGGGTTTGATATATCCTACCACCCAACCCTCCACACACGTTGCGGGACGCTGGTGCGCTTCGCGCGGATGGGTTGGGGTCTTCTATAGTAACTACTATAGTAAACACCCACACGAGTCTGGGTTTGATATATCCTATCACCCAACCCTCCACACTCGTTGACGCCGTGTGCTTTGCGCAGATGGGTTTGCCTCTTCCATAGTAACCACCATAGTAACCATCCACATACCTGTATCATCCTCCCAGTCAACTGTCGCCGTCCTCATCATGTAACAGATGAACCTCTGCCATACTGCACTACACTTATGAACCGACTGAACGCTCTGGTGAAGCTCGAATGGATGCTGGCTCGCAACCTCATTCTTTGGTGATGCCCACCACTTTAGTACATCCTTGTGGTCCATATTTGCTAGCGTATCAAGACAGCGTTCAAGAATCCGATCCCATGCACGTAACAGTCGTTGTAATTTGGTCTCCTTCTCCTCTGGCTCACGCGCGTATTTGTACGTCTGGATAATATCAACCTGTGACTCCTGAAGAACCTCGTTCCACCCAGTGTATCGTAGCCATGGGTCTAGCTCATCAGCCGCGGGCTTGGCTAGCAGTGTCAACCTGCGCTCCTGTGCTGCCTCCTTCCACTGCTCGATGTCGCGTATGATCTGGTCCTCAGCATCGCCTTCCTGGTTGCTGGCTTGCTCTTCCTCACTAACATCATCGCTAGACTGCTCTCCAACGTCGCGTACTAATATCATCAGCTGGTTACTATAATGATTACTATAAAGATTGCCAGAATCCAACTTACTCAATTGATGCGTCGCTTGCATTCCTTCAGCCTGTCTACTCTCATCCACAACCCAATATCGCTCCTTTCCATCTCGAAACCATGTCTGCAGCCGTACAGCCTGGAATAACTGGTTGTCATCCACCCGTTTCATTGAATGCTTATTTCGGCCATGATCCTTCATTACTCTTCGACTGATTGTATAATACCTACAATGCTGACATTGGAATCCATCAACTATTGGAATAACTGGCTGTGGTGGTAGTCCATCAACTGGTAATTGGATAGTTGAATAATTATAATCAAATGGAACCCTCTGAATATAGTGCTGTATCTGCTTTCGAACTTCCAGTTTCTCCTTATGGATTTTGCGGAAGTGCTCAGTTAGTCCTACACCGCTAACTGCTTTGCAGCAATGTGCACTCAAACAAACCAACACCTTATACTCAACGTTTAGTTGGATCAGATGGCTCAAAGTCACTGGAACTTGAATGGAATTGATGCTCTGACGTTCTGCCATGATGGAATTGATGGTAATAGCTATAGTAATCCATATAAAACGTAACCCTAGAGAATGCCGTTGTGCGCCCATCGGCAACTAGTGCCAAGACAAGTGCACGGGCCACATCTAACCTAAAATGGATGCCTTTGGGCGTCCAACGGCAGAGACATAAGGTTAGGTCGTCGTCTAGAAGGTGTACCTTCACGACGCGATATCCAAGCCAACTCACGGAAATTAACTAACCTAGAGGAGTCCGTCCTTGTTCAGTATATACTCGACCTAGCTGCCAAAGGGTTTCCTCCTCGGCTGTCTGTTGTTGAAGATATGGCAAGTCGACTACTTGCAACACGCGACGCGTCACGCGTTGGGTCGCGTTGGGCTTCAAACTTTGTTAAGCGGCGTGTAGAGCTCCAGACACACTTTCAGCGCAAATACGACTACCAGAGGGCTAAGTGCGAAGATCCAGAAGTTATTAATGGCTGGTTTGAGCTTGTGCGTAACACAATTGCGAAATATGGTATCGATGAAGCAGATATCTACAACTTTGATGAGACTGGGTTTATGATGGGCGTTATCTCAACTGCTATGGTTGTAACAAGCTCAGACGGGCGGGCAAAAGCAAAGAAGGTACAGCCTGGTAATTGGGAATGGGTTACAGTAATCCAAGGCGTTAGTTCTCAAGGTTGGGCAGTACCACCATTTATCATTGTTGCAGGCAAAAACCACCTTACATCTTGGTATGAGAATAGTGGATTTTCAAGCGATTGGGTGATTTCTGTTACTGAAAATGGCTGGACTACAAACGAGAGAGGCATGGATTGGATTCAGCACTTTGAGAAGCATACAAAGGCCCGGAGTGTTGGTGGTTATCGCTTGTTAGTCCTTGATGGTCATGAGAGCCACCACTCAGATGAGTTTGAGGAGTACTGCAAGGAACACAACATTATTACGCTTTGTATGCCTGCTCACTCTTCTCATCTACTCCAGCCACTTGATGTTGGCTGTTTTGGCCCGTTAAAGCAGGCCTATGGTCGGCAAATTGAAGATATGATGCAGGCTCATATTTCTCATATTACAAAGGATGACTTCTTTCCTGCCTTCCACGCTGCATTTAACACTACAATGACGGAAAGTAACATTTGAGGCGGGTTCCGAGGGGCAGGGCTTCTTCCATTTGACCCTGAGAGAGTGATATCTACACTTGATCTTAAGTTAAGGACACCAACGCCTCCAAGCTCCCGCCCAGGTACTGCTCAACCTTGGGTTTCTCAGACACCAAACAACCCAATTGAAGCTATGTCACAGTCTACATTTATTAAAACTCGGATTTCACGCCATCAAAATAGCTCTCCAACCTCAATCTATGCAGCTGTTGACCAGTTTACAAAGGGTGCATCGCAAATAATGCATCAATTAGCACTGCTAAAGGGAGAGAACCAAAACCTACGACAGGCAAATGAAGTACTAAGCAAGCGCCGGAGAGCTAGGAAAACATGACTACAGCAAGGAGGATCACTTAGTCAACAAGGGGCGCAAGAGCTACAGGATGAGAGGGATGTTGTGCAGCAGGTAGAGCAGGAAATAAGGGCAAGCCGTGGTCGGAAGCCAAGGGAAGAAACCCGTGCCCGTCGCTGTGGCAAGTGTGGTGAGACTGGGCACAATGCGCGCACGTGTCAGATTGTAATAGACACCTCTGAGGAAGAGGACTCCGAGTAGTTTCAATTGATTTCTAATGTTGTGGTAGATTTATCGCAATGTTTGTCGTGAGGGTAGATAATTTTGGCGCTTTCGCTTGTTTGGCGCTTTCGCTATACATGTACGTTAGTTAACTTTTACTTTTAGAAATATTTAAATTTACACTTATAAGGTCTAACCTTCAGACTATTTTTCCTCTACTAGAAATTCTCATATTTCTATACTAACTACATACGGGGGTGTTGAACAGCCTGTTCAACAGTTGCTAAAACGCTCTATTGTCCCGTTCACAGGTACTGTTATCCTAATAAGGTGGAACGTCTTGCTTTGCTCCTATTTGATGCACACTTGGAGACGCACGGTGAGGTGCGAGAACTTGTCATACCAGGCGGGTTGAGGGTAATAGCTAGCCAGCTACAAGGCAGTCCCCCACAATCTGTTACCAATGTATTTGGTTTTGAAACTGCTGCCGCACTCGCATCGGCCCCATATCGGAGGATTGAAGTATCGGAAGCAGATGCGCAAGTGGCCACTCGCTGTGAGCTACTATTTTGAAAGATCAAAAATATCATGTTGTTGTGGTGTTTGACGCCGTTGTTCAACTTTAATAACTTCTTGAAGTGTCACTTCACGGATAATTCGTCGTGGTTCAAATGGTTGTAGTCCTGCTCCTCTCCATGCTAAAGTGATACCGCCTCCTCCTCCTCACAAACCTCGGCATCCTCTCCCCCGCGCCCCGCGACCTGACCTCCCTTCCCCAACCTTCATCCTCGGAACAGCTATGGCCATCGGGCCTCCTCCTTGAAACCGGCTCCGAAGAAACTTCAAGGCCCGCCCGGAGAACAAGGGGAAACCATTCACTGGCGGCCTCTTTGGTCTCGCGCGACACATCATTTACGGCCCGTACTGCACCTGGCGATCTGGGTATGCGATGGCGGCTGCTGGGCCCATTTAGGGCGGGCTGGTGTTCTGGTTCTTCTACCACAATTTTAAGAGTAAGGGCATTCCGGTGCTGGACCGTTATTGTGAGGATCGGGTAAGTTGAGTCGAGTCCTGGCGATGGCTTGCCGCAGCAAATGCTAACTTGTGGATGTGGTATGGCGAGGACTGGCAGAAGTATCGCAAGAAGGTGCGATCATCTTTGCTTCCTGGCATTTGAGGGATGGGTGCGGTTGTTGGGGATGCCCCCGTGGTTCTAGGCTTCGTTTAGTGTTAGTGATGGTGGAATAGCTTCGTCGGACGGATAGGACTTGATGTATGCTTGGTCTCGGCGAGAAGGCTGGCGATTTGATGGTGGAACATCTTTCAATGTAAGTTAGTGTAAAATTAAGACGATCTTTCCTCATTAGGCGTAATACTCATTCATGACTGTGATATAACCAGCCAACCTCCAGCGTAACCGCTGATAACCGCTCATGTAGGTCTCACATTCATGCAAGCCACAAAGCTATTGTGGAATCTCTTTCTATTAGATACACAGACGCTACTGAAGCGTGAGACTTCTAGCCGCAATACGCCAGATGTCGTGATGCAGTGCAAAGTAAGATATTATACATACAGCACCCGGCCCAACTCGCCATATCCATCCACCCCATATTCCGTCCCAGACATCTGTTAAGTCCTGTATACCTTGTTGCTATTTCGAATGCAAGTCGTAAATCCGCCCTTTGACCCGTACTGCCAAAAGTGCGCCTTCATAATATATGTTTGTTTTCTTATCTAGCCGTTGGCCTGCGTTTTAACCTAGGACCATTTTTGTCCTCGGACAACGAGTGTCGCAGTCTATAATTCGAGACTAATTGACCTGGGTCAAGGCGGCAGCAAATTATAGGGATTGTACCACAGTGCTTGCTGGGCGAGTAGTCGCGGTTTTGTCGCGAATATAAGCTCCTCCCTCGGCTACCACTCACACTTCACCACCCCCGCACCAAACTTAGCACTCTCACGGCTCTGCCTCGCAATGCGCATGATATGGATGCAGACTAACCGTGCTGCTCGACTTCCCTCCTCTCACACTATTGCGCTTAATCTCTTTCTCAACATGAATCCCCTTATATGCTCTCGCGGGCGGCAACATGGTCCCCTCCGCAATCCCGCGCGCACGATCATCCATCCTTGACCCCTTCGGCTGGCGCTCCCAGGCGCGGCGACCACTATCAAACACCCCATCCATCTCCTCAAGCATCTTGCCCTTCGTCTCTGGCGCTGCGATATATATATGTATAAGCGCCAAGCCGTTGAGCGTCCCGAAGAGCATGTACATGCGCCAGTTAATGTGGTACAGCATAGGGGGAACGGCGAAGGAGAGGATGAAGTTCCAGAACCAGTTAGAGGCGGTAGCGAGGGAGACGGCCTTGGCTCGGACTTTGGACGGGAAGATCTCTGCTGGGTAGCACCAGGATGCGGGACCCCAGGTCGTGGCGAAAGTAGCGACGACGAGATATGAGCAGGCCACGATGGCGCCGGAGGCGGCTTTGTTGCCGCGCACGACCCAGGTGATATTCGTACCGTTGCCGTCGACGGCTTCGCCATAGACGGCCTGTAGGGCGCCGGTGATGAAGAAGAAGATCATCATGAAGAGGGAACCGAGGAGAAGGGACGGTCGGCGCCCCCATTGGTCAATGTAGATGATGGCAGGGAGAGTAAGAAGCACGTTGATCACGTATTGAATCGACGCCGTAAGCATAGGCGATCCAATGTCTGCCGCCTGCATCACGTAGATGATGTAGTACATGAGCACGTTGACTCCACCCAGCTGCGACCATGTCTGGATGCTCATGCCAAGGAGTACACGCTTCAACATGCGTGGCGCTGCGAGTGCGCGCATGCTGCTTGTGGCCTCCTCGCGTTCGAAACGCAACGCCTCCTCGATTTCCTGGTACTCGGCCAACACTTTCGGGTGGTCGATGTCACCTCCTGCGTGGAGATCCGCAAGCACTTGGATAGCCTCGTCCCATAGGTCCTTGCTGGCCAGCCAGCGAGGGCTACGCGGAAGAAAGAACAGGCCAAAGAAGAGGATGACGGCTGGGATCATCTGGAGACCCCAGGGGATGCGAAATGCCGTCTCAGGTTGGTTGGGATCGGTGGGGCCACCGCCGACAAAGGACGCGCCGTATTGGATAAAATACTGAATCAGTATACCCCATGTGACAGCCCACTGCTGGAGGGTGATAATGCGGCCACGAATCTCCTTCGGTGCGATTTCGGATTGGTAGACGGGTACGATGGTGGAGGCGATTCCGATGCAGATACCGGAGATGACACGGCCGACCACGAGCATGGGGATTCCGTTGGAAGCGCATTGGACACTGGCACTTGGTTAGCAGAGATAGATGACAACGGGGAGTAGGAAGCGTACGTGGAACCGACGATCCAGAGTGTGCAGGAGAACTGGATGGCGGTCCGGCGGGAGTAGCGATCCGCTATGAAGGACGATATGACAGCACCAAAGAAGGAGCCGAATGGCATAGAGGCTGTGATGGCTCCCTGAACTGACGAGATACTGCCGCTCCGTTAGAACAATCCAAGCAGGCTCGAATGGTCAGACATACGGATTGTTAAAATAGCGCTTATAGGCCTCTGTCCCAATGACACCAGACATGGAGGAGATATCGAAACCAAACAGCCCCCCGCCTATACATCACACTCTGGTCAGCACGATTATTGCTTCAGTCGCAACGTCGAAACAAAGGCATTCCCTCGACGATCGGGAGTGAGGGGTCAGGAAGACATACCGATGGCAGCGAAACCGCAAATGGCGTAGACATTAGAAGCCTGATACATGATGGCGACTGCGCTGCGTCGCGCTATATTCTTGCGGACTGCGCCGTCACGTCAAACTTCTGAATAGGTTGTTAAGGGACCAGAGATGGCGACGACAGTCAACGACGACATCAACGATTGATAGGAGACATTGGGGAAGCAAAGACTGGGGCTGGTCGTGGTAGATCTACATATGTATGCATGTTGGCTGTCACCCTGGTGCCCAATGGGGCGATGCATTGCGATGAACCCTGGGTTGATGGGAGCCCTGTGCACCAGGTGGCGGAGGGCAAAGAGGGGTCAGAAAGCTCCAACACACAAGGATTCTCCCAAACCCATGTGTGGGGCAGGGATGGGCAGAGCCCAGGTAGTAGGTGGGGCGCAATTCATCTGCTCGAGCCCAGTAGGAGCGCAGCAAATAGTATTGTTTGAAGGCCGTCAAAGCCACAATTAAGCTGCCGTCGGCGGTGGATATGTGCTGTAAGTATAGTATAGTAACAAATCGTGGTTGGCCGGCTCAGTGTGATTTCAAATATGATGCTGACGCAAGCCGGCCTGTCATGCTGGCCGCCGTGCTTTACGACAGGATGTTGGAATGGGAGGATTGGAATGGGATGGGATTGACTGGACCAACAATCCGTATTGGGAGCCAACCCGACTCCATTCAGTTCCTCCATCCGAATTGGAGACTCGACGTCGATGATCTCCATGAGAAGTCGGCGATGTTTGAGTGAGACATGTTGGTTGGTGTCCACTCCATGGCTCCATAATTTAAGTACAGTACAAAGCAAGGTACGAGAAACAGGACCCCTCTAACGGCTGTGTGTGCTTCCCTTCTAGAAAAAGCGCTATTACCGCTAGGAGCTTCTCTTTTGAGGCAGCTGCTAAGATAGCAAAACAGTGGACTGTTTGTGATACTCGGATGGCTTGATGCCGCCTTCTCTCCTTCCTTTTCTTCTTCCAATATTTATGCCATAACTGACGAGCCACTTGAGACTCGTGCCCCAGCGTCTAGAACAGACTTTCAGCACGTTCATTCACATCGCTGCCTCGGCTTCTGTTCTGCTGTCGCTGTCTGTACTGTACTTTGTAATGGGCGAAAGATTATCCTCGCTCTTAAGACCTAGCAAAGTAAATAAATCCTAGTTGGACTCTTTCTCTCTCTCTCACCTCGGACATATGACACCGACGACAACTCTCGCGCCCAAAGCAGTATCCATGTTTCGCCGACATCGTAATCAATTCTCCTATCTTTTCCTCTTTCGTTGCCTTTTTCTTCTCAAAAAGCTTATGCCGTAAATCGCTACAAGGAAGTCACAATCGACCCTACTCGCTCGTACGTACCAAGTACCTTCCGCCTTCGGAATTCACTAATGTCCCCAAAGTCCCCAATATCCCCAAAGTCCCCAATATCCCCAATATCCCCAATATCCCCAATATCCCCAATATCCCCAATATCCCCAATATCCCCAATATCTCCAATATCCCCGTGCATGTGTGCAACCACCACACCGCCTTGGCTTCCAGAAATCCCTCCCACCACGCACGTACGACGCCGTCAGCATGCAAGGCACCACCACGTCTTCCCGCTGGGTCAGGTACCCCAATAACGGGATATTCTTGATAATTCCTACACCATAGCACCACTGTCAGCCCGCTTTCCCCAGAACACGGAACTATCCATTGACAAATGTCCGTCTGTAGCCATGTAATGTCATGTTCCGCATCACCGTGCATCCCGTCCCCAATCCTCCCCGAACGAATGCTCGGGTCTGTGTCTGACCTCCTTCTCCTTGGTCGGGCTACCGGACACCTCGGATCGGGGACCGGGCCCAAATGTGACGCTGGCACGGTCATCTAATGTCGCCGTCGCCCATTTGTTAGCGACCATCTCGTCTATTCCTCCCCTGATCTGCCGTCTCCAGATCTTCAGTGGAGTCGGAATGTATCAATATCTTCGTCCTCAAGGTAGCTCTTTCTCTCTTCTCGCGAAGTGCCACTCTCCGCACCTTCCTCGGCCTTTCCGCTTCTAAATGACTTCCGTCCCCATCCCGCATCGGGCCCCGTTTCAGATGATTTCCCCGATTCTGCCGCCGTATCAGCCTGAAGCATTTCGTAATCACCACAATTTCCTCCAAACATCTCGGCAAGCTCCTTTCCTTGTCTCACATCATGGTTTGCGAAACTCGTAAAAGAAGGCGTACGACTCTATACTTGTAGTAGTAGACCGATATACTAAGTACGCTATCTACGTTGCAACAAACAAGACGATTACCGCCCACGATTTGGCACTGTTAATCGTCCGCTATGTCATTCCTGAGTTCGGGTTCCCAGAAGGAATTGTGTCAGATCGAGGATCTGTATTCACAAGCAATTACTGGGCAGCACTCTGCTTTTACTTGTGTATACGGCGACGCTTGAGCACCGCCTTCCACCCGCAGAAGGTGCTTGTGTGCAGAGGTGGCTGTTCGTATACAATTCCACACGAACGAGTAGGTGACGGGAACATGCTCGGCGCGTGCTCCGTCCGAAGACGGCGCAGAGACGACCGGATTTGCTAAACCGCGTCAGCACCGAAACAACACAGGGGAAGAGGTATACTCACGGCGAACTCCGCCTCGATGGCGGCGCGCATGGCACGAGCCTCCTCGTAGGAGTCACGCTCTGCCGCGGAGCGGAACTTGGGAACGCTCTGGGCGGCCACAAGGGCCACCCGATTTGCCTCCGCGGTAGCAGCCACGACATTGGCGGCGACGACAGGGACGGCCGCTTCAGCGGCAACGAGGGCGCGGTACTCCTCATCGAGGAACCAGGGCAGCTATCCACCCGATGGTCAGCTACAACCAACCAACCGAACACCAAAAGGAAACGCACTGAGACGCAGGGAGAGTGCTGGCCAGTGCAGTACTCACACTTCGACGACGAGGGAGACCAGACGCAGGCGTGCTCCTGGACTCCCTGAGCTTTGGCCCGAAGGTAATGCAGACAGAGGACACGGAAAGCGACCGACAATGCTCCGGCAGGAGGCGGGACCGGCATCTTCAAGTTGGGATCTATAATCCTGTCAGTCGAGCCCACAGAGAGCGTGCCGGCGCTCTTGGAGGAAGTGGTGGCTGCCGTGGGCAAGCTGCCTGCGGTCGCTGTCGCGGCCGCGACTGTTCCGGTCCGCTCTGGTTAGGATTGACCTTTCCTTAAGAAAGGGCAAGCAGACAATACAGTAAATCGACTATCACATACTTCCACGTCTTTTCCAAGCTTCCAAGCATTGATCTTGTTACTCCTTGTTTCTGAAAAGTCAGTGAGGTGCTAACCTCTGACTTATCCCTGAGTTCTCAGACTCAACATTTGTTATAACTTGTCTAAACCACTCCACTATATCATACACCTGATTGCTGCATTGTGGAATAGTCTAAGCTACTACCCTTTGGCTCTTTTTCCTAAGACAGTGTGTTGTCTTAGTAAAATCATCCCTTCCTTGGGTGGCTAGATTCTCACATCTGGTGCACCCACCATTACACGAAGGGTCGAAGCGACCCCACGCGAAGAGCCAGGGCCGAGTCCCCTCCGACACAGGGTCCCCACCCCCACACCCCCCCCTTACTCCCCATACTCCGCATCAAAGGTGCCCTCCCCCTCTCCCTCCCCCTCCGCTAAAGGAGTGTAGTTCTCTCATTTTCCAAGACTTTCCATGACTAACCAGGCTTGGTAACTGTAGTCGATGTAAGAGAACCCCATAGAACCATCTCCTAGGTTCCTAGCCTATAGGAAGTGAAAGGAGGTCCAAGGTCAGAGTACCCCTATAGACAAATTATGTCATAACTTAACCAATCTTGTGGGTAACTAAGGAGCGATGACGTGTAATGAATCATAGAGCATTGTAGAAGCTTTTGGAGCTATCGTTCATGCTCCTAGGCCTCTGTTGATAGAGATATGTCATGTGTAGTATTAGCCCAGTAACTAAGGAGTGATGTCATGTAATTAATCATAGAGGGTTGTAGAGATATGCTATGTGGTCATATCGGCCCAGTAACTAAGGAGCAATGACGTGTAATGAATCATAGAGGGTTGTAGCAATCATTGAGTAGTATTGCTCTTGTTGTTGGTGTGACAAGCCAAAATATGTATAGTGGCTTGTAGGTTTGAGGAGGAGATTTCTAAGTTTGCTCTTTGAGTTTGATAGCAAACTGAGTGCAACGAATGTCAGTATGACACTTCGTCTCTCATGGTGGTAGCCGTCTGTTGTGACGCCGGTGAGATGTTTGGGAAGGGTGGCTCCTGCAAGGGTTGCAGTGGTGAGTGCACCCTGGCTTGGAGGGTAATTAGCTTAGGGTCGTAGGTAGCAACGACTCTGTTTTTCCTGCTTTGTCGTCCCTCCCGTGATCGTAGTTTTGTTCCTCAACCGCCTCCCATGCCGTAACCCATCCGAGTAGTTCTCAAGGTGGACCTGGTAAATCTGGGTATTCCGTGTGAAACTCTCTGAGTTTATGGGGAGAGTTCATGAAGTTCGACGCTGGGTACCACTCCGGGTCCGGATCATATCCTACCCAACTAACCCGGTATTGAAGTTGCTTTCCTCAGAATCTCACGGCAAGGATCTTTTCTACTTCCCATTCTTCCAAGCCATCTATAACTTCGCTGCTAGGCAATAAACGGATCACTGTTCTGTAACTGGGTGATGAGCTTGCAGAGGTCAACTGAAGGCTCTTCGTATGGGCCTTCTCCTACCGCTCCAAGCACTGCCCAGCAACAGGATAGGAGAGCCTGTGGCTGACCTGCGCTTCTTCCGCGGAAGGGTAGCATAAATGTTTCTACCTTGTAGAGGATATCTTTGGTTTCCGTTCGCTGACTTGCTTTTGCAAAGACTGCACGGACTCGAGTATTCTGCTGCGACACATCACTCTCGCTGTTTCTAACAGCCTCACTCAACCCCACTGACAGCTTCTGCTGTAGTGTAGGGAGCAGTCCCTGATACGCCTGGTATTGGCGGTCGACATAGTCTGGTCTACGACTCGGACCGTCTGCAGGGTTTGTACGGCCAGGCCTATGTTCAATCTGGAAATCGAAACCTGCAAGGAACTCGATCTAGTGAGCCTGCCAGTTATTGATTGATACTTTCTTCATGAAGTAGACCAAATTATTGTGATCAGTCCTTACTGTCACTGGAAAATTGCTATGCTGCATATGGTGGTGCCAATGCTTAAAGGCTGCCATGATGGCGAGGAGCTCTATGTCATGGACATCGTACCTGATTTCTGCGTCCTTGAGCTTCCTTGAGTAGAATGCAATGGGGTGCCACTGCGTGACACCCGCTTCGTCTGTGTACGGCTGGGTTAGGATTGCTGCAATAGCCATTCCTGAACTGTTCGTCTCCAGCCTAATAGCCTGCTCTGGGTCAAAGTGGCAGAGGAGTGGAGCGGACGTGAAGGCTAACTTTAGCGTCCGAAAAGCTTCCGCTGACTCACCGTTCCATATGAACGGGCCAACTTTCTTTCCCTTCTCACTGCCTTTTAGCAGCCCTGTGAGGGGTTGCGTGTAACGCTGACTTCTAAACGATAGAAGACACAGAGGTTCTCTTGCGTAAAGGTTTACTTATCAGAGGAGGCAGGGGATCAGACACAAAGGCTTCAAGTAACACGTTACTAGTATATAACAAATACTGTATTGAGTTGAGCACGAAGCTCCTATCTAAGGAAATACTATCTACTTATATAGTGGCGTCGTGCCTAGTGGACTCTTGGGAACTCACTCGAGTCCTCAGAGTCCTGGACTCTTAGGACTCTTCTCATCATCCTGCGAGTCCATCACGTGCCTAGTGGACTCCTGGGAACTCACTCGAGTCCTCGGAGTCCTGGACTCTTAGGACTCTTCTCATCATCCTGCGAGTCCGTCACGTGATACTTTCGGAACTACTATTCCCCGCTGCCCCTCCAGGTACCAGGGCCGGTCTCATGCGACCTCCCTCCTTCCTGTCCTGTAGTTGGCCAGCCTTCTTGTTCCGTCGTAACATTGCGCTACTCGCGAATACCCCTCAATAAACCTCTGATAGAAGTTCGCAAATCCAAGGAAAACCTGAAGGTCTCAGAAGCTTGTAGGCTCTGGCCACTCTGTGATGGTTTCTACCTGTGAGGCGTCCATTGATACCCCCTTAGTAGAGACGATGAACCCAAGGAATTCTACTTCTGTAGTTGAGAACTTGCACTTCTTCAAGTGGCAGTAGATCTTAAACTTCTTGAAGGCGTTCGAGGACAGTGCGGACGTGTTGCATATGATCCTTCTTGTGCTTCGAGTAGATCAACACATCGTCAAGGTACACAATACACAAGACGTCCACAAGTCCTGCGAGTGCCTCATTAATATATGCCTGAAATGAGGCGGGGGCATTGCACAACCCAAACGGCATCACTAGATACTCGAAAAGGCCGTACCTTGTTCAGAAAGCTGTCTTCCACTCGTCACCCTTGCGGATAAGCTGTATATTGGACCCCAGGGGGGTTGCTTCCCTGGCTCAATGTCAATTGCATGTTCCTTACGCTTTGAGTATTCTGGCAGCGACGCAGCCCCTACGTCATCAAAAACGTCTGTGAAGGACTCATATTCCCTTGGCACTTCTTGCGCCTGTGGTTCACTGTCATCCTCTGTGATTCGGTGTAGCATAGCCACATATACAGGTTCGTTACGCTCTCGTAACCCTTCCGCTTCCCTGTGTGAGAAATATTGAATGTCTTCTACAGGGAACCTCCAGGTTCCCTCCCTCCAGTCTATCATGGGATTCTCACGGTACAGCCACGGATACCCAAGCATGAGGTCATATTCCTCAAGGACTGTTGTGACAAAGGAGTGTTCTCCGTCTCGGATCACACCCTCATCGTCCTTAATGTGGAGGGTAAGCTGAGCCTTCCCAAACAAGGGTATTTCCTGCTCGCCCACCCCCTTTGGCATCGTAAAGTTTGGCTCCCACTTGCCCCCCATTTCCTTTGCGATAAGGTGGGACATTAAATTCTCTGTTGTGCCACTATCAACGAGGGCACGGAGCGTCCGCTCCTACTGATGGGGCTTCAGTGGAGGAATCTAGTTTTTTGACCCTAGGGATCCTTCTGAGTGTACAGCCCGGACTTGGGAGCTGCTCTCAGCTTGCTTAGTGAAGCACTGAGCTGCTCTGTGGCCTTCTTGACTGCAAGTAAAACATAGGTTATTCTCCCTTCGACACGGCTCTTCCGCGTCAGAAAGGTGGGCACGCTTCTGGAAGGACCTTGAGGCGCCACGGTTCTCACCTGAACCCTCTGCCAACCTCTTGTAGGACCGGTAACCCTTCCCCTGAGGTTTTTCCTCCCTCTTCCCCGTGCTTTCCCAGGGGCGCGCAGCCTCAGTCTGTTTGAAACGGCCAAATGCAATGAGTGCGCCCCGGGACCGTGGGATCTCCGGATGCTGGAGGACCATCCTCTGGACTTCAGGGCATAACTTCATAAGAAGGTGTTGCACCCTGTTCTCCTCGCTATACGCAGGCATTTCCGCCTCTAACGTTTCAAGGTAGGTGGTGAAGGCTTGAGCCGACTGGCCGCTTCGTTGCCGCGCCTCCTCATAATTCATCGCTGTTGATATGTGTAACGCTGACTTCTAAACGATAGAAGACACAGAGGTTCTCTTGTGTAAAGGTTTACTTATCAGAGGAGGCAGGGGATCAGACACAAAGGCTTCAAGTAACACGTTACTAGTATATAACAAATACTGTATTGAGTTGAGCACGAAGCTCCTATCTAAGGAAATACTATCTACTTATATAGTGGCGTCGTGCCTAGTGGACTCTTGGGAACTCACTCGAGTCCTCGGAGTCCTGGACTCTTAGGACTCTTCTCATCATCCTGCGAGTCCGTCACGTGATACTTTCGGAACTACTATTCCCCGCTGCCCCTCCAGGTACCAGGGCCGGTCTCATGCGACCTCCCTCCTTCCTGTCCTGTAGTTGGCCAGCCTTCTTGTTCCGTCGTAACAATATGGTCCTATTCACTGGGTCCTGGACTAGATCAAGGAGGAACCTCTTGAATTCCTTTCCAGGTCTTCTGAAAGTTAGGCTCCTTTTCCTGCTGGAGCCAGCATCTCGGGGTTCCCCCTCAAGCCACGTAGCTGCAAAGTCTCAGCGGAACTCATCTGTCCTAGCTAGTGGTTCAAAGCGGAAGGTGAGCTCACAGCTTGTAATGAATTTATTATGTTCGCGGACGTTCTTCCCTCGGTATTCAGGGATTGCCCTCGACCTTAGGCTTCGTGGTACACCAGCATGCGAAGTAGAGCTTACAGTAGTCATAACGCTTCGTTCGTCCGACCTAAGAGTGTGGGGAGAAGCCTCCTCTTGTCCTACGCGCTCTAGGCGTTCCTGTAGTCGACGGATTCGCTCGCCCTCCTCTCTCAGCTCAAGTTCTCACTGTAACTCAGCTTCGAGGGCGAGGGCCGTAGCAAGCTGGGCTTCTACTCCAGGGGATCTGTGAGGCTGGGATAAGGGGCTTGATGCCCCTGACTCCTCAGGTGTGTTCTCAAGCGCAGCCACTCCGCTACGCTCATGCTCAAGGCTCGCAGCCACTTCCCTATGGGTCTGACGTGGCGGCATGGTTTTCCGCTTACTTGACTTCCCTCTTTGGGCTGTTCTTCCCAATCGTAGGAATGGTGGAGCGTTCAGAATGTAAAAGAGCCTTGGCTGAACAGGGCAGTGGGAAGTCACGTTGTAGATAGTTACGTAGTCAAGCTCTCTATTGATACGAAGACTGAATGCTGCCCTTCCGATTAAGGGCCATGTTCCTACTATATATGTTCTTGTGCGGGGTTCGGAGGGAAGACCCTCCGCCTTGGCACTATAGCGCACATGACAGGTCCTGCACGTGAGGCTACTCGTGACACATACCTATCATTAGTAAGCTCTTTAATCCACTTTAAAAGGGTTTCCTCTTAAGTTTTTGATAAGAGTTGTTGTTGTTGTTACGCTTCTCTTCATAAGGGTTAACCTTTAACATGTCAGACTACTATATATAGGCGAAGGTGTAATGCCTTTGCAGCTGCGTACGATGACTTATATAAGCCTGATTTAACTCTAGCAACTGCTTCTGATAATAGAACTTCAAGTTCTTGAGCTTTTATACTATTTTGGCGTACCATGTTGAAGGTGGATGGTGTTGTTAATGGTCGGGCTCCCCCTACTACGCCATTATGCCGCTTACGCCATGACCTACGTTAGAGAAGCCCTCGTAACCACTAGGGTCCGTAAGACGCCCAACTATGAGGAGATGCAAGCCATTGCTTTGGTGCATACCTAATGCCAAAGAAGTAGATGGGCCTAATCCGAATCTAGCTATAATAGTCAGGTGCTGGAGTTGCTTAGGGTTAGGCTCATGGTGACCGGCTCTTGAGATTCGCTTCGCTCCTACTGATCCTTGGCTTATATAAGACTTTCATATCAATACTGTTTGATATTATCAAGGGTCGATAGAGTATAGCGAGCTTCAGCTGGCCTACCCCATCCCGATATAAGCCTGACAGGTTTTTAAGAGGACAGGGATGAATTGTATTAATCTTCGTAGGAAGGCCGGTTCTTTCTTGAGACAGACGATCTCCCAACAAAGGGGTCATATGCGATGGAGCTGTAGAGATGTGACTTTAGAAATACTCGCTAAAGAGATGTTTTGTCACCATACAACTTTGCCACACAGTATAAAATTTCAATTGCAATGTCCTGGGAATTAAGGGCAGGTAACCTGTCGGTGGTGTCGACATGGGACGTGATATTTACGAAGTACGTCTAGTTATGAGGAGCTGGGCAGGCGGCCAGCCCAGTGGATTCCGGGTTATATAATCCAGTGATGCTGGTGGCTATGTTCCCAAACAGTTGCTGCAAGGTAGTCGATCTACAGAGAAGTTTCAAGCCACTTTTTGGATCTGTTCGCAGAACTGATGGGTTTCGAGCCCAAATAGTCAGATTCACACGATGCCATGCCACGGCATCAGATATCGCACCGTCACGAAACAAGCAGAAGACACCAAACCATACACCATCGCCATGAAGCACCACAGACACATCACAAATCAGGCACTCACCACCCCCTACACGGACCTCAACAAGTCGACACCCAACTTAATAACCAAATAATCAAATAAAAATCCATGCAATGCATTCTATCCCCGCCATATGATGTGTTACGCGTATCTACAAACCACCCACAAGTCTACACTCCCTCTCCCCCTCCCCCCATTCATTACCCCCCCCCCCCCAAATCAAACCATCCACTCTTTACACCCCCCATCTCATCACCTCCCCTCCCCCCCACCAGCAACAACCGCCGCCCCAACAGCAGCCCCAAGCAACGAGCTTTCCTCCGCAAGACAAAGCTCTATCCTCCCCTGCCCCCCCTCTCCACACAACTCATCCAGCGCCTCCTGCGCCCCCCGCGAAAGCCAGGGTAAAACTGAATCACCGCCCCCGCGCACGCAACCACCGTATCCTCCTTCACAGCAGCCGCCGGCGCCGCCGTGACCGTCCCCTCAATAAGCTCCGCCTTCGTCGGCACCGCTGCAGCCGTAGCAGCGGCGCCGTCCCTCACACCCCGTAACGCGTAAATCGACGCAGCCACCACCCTCGCCGCCCTTGCTGAAACAGCACCAGCAATCCGCCGCAGCGCCTCCCCATCACCCTCCCCAATCCCGAGACCGAGGCTCTTCCACTCCCCAACCTGCAGCTTGGCCAATACCTCGGAGTCGAGACCGTATCCCCTCTCCCACCCCCTCGGCAGCGCCTTTGCCTCCTCGAACAGAGCACCCCGCTCGACTCCTTCGACGATGACCAGGCGTGCGACTTCACCCAGGTAGCGGCCTGAGACTAGCATCTCGAGGGGCTGGAAGCCCGGCAGCGCGTGCGCGGCTTCGAGGGCAGTGTCGAAGCGGGTTACTGGCAGGACGCCCGCGCCGAACATGCTGATTTCCGTATTGACGATCACATGATCATGCGGGGGGAGGGCAGAGCCCGTGCTGACGGACGAACCCGGCGATGTGGACAGCGACGGAGGTGAGGTGGGAGGGGATGCGGCGCTGTGGTTGCGCAGGGCGAGTTTCCCGGCTACGAGGGAGGTGGGGAGGTGCACGGCGATGTTGACGCCGGTGCCGAGGATGAGGCCGTAGTGCGTGTGTGGCGTGCTGTAGGCGCGCGAGAGGAGGGTGGAGGCGGCGTCGTTGATGGTTGCGGTGAGGGTTACTGGGAGATGCTGGGGGGTGTTAGTTGTGTACACGTATAGATATATAGGACAGCGGAGGAGAGACATACCCGCCGGTCACAAGCGCCCTGTAAAACATCTGCCAGGTCCGCCCCTAGAAGCCCCTCCATCGCTCTAAACCCCTTGCCCATCCCATGGATCTTTCCACTGCGCAACGAGGTGTGCTCAATTGGAAAGCTCCACGACAGTCCCATATCCATCTTCGCCACCTCCTCGCCCTCCTTCGTCTCCCCCAGTACCTCCCTAAGCGTCTCCTCAATCCTCTCAGCCAACCACTCAAAAAACGCAATCCCAACACGCTGCTTCACCAGATCATCAATCCTGAACGTCCTCGCCCCACGCGCAACACTCTCCTCCCCCTCGATCCCGCGCCCAAACAGCTCCAGCACCGCAACGCGGAACGTCGAGCCCCCAACATCAAGCGCGACATAGCGCCCCGTCTCTGCGCCAGACGGCAACACATGGCTGTAGCTGGGCAGCATACACGCCGGGTTCTCACACAGCGCGAGCGCGTACTCCGCCTGCAGCCCATCGGCGAGGCGGCGCAGGCCCGGCGCGTCGAGGGCCGCGAAGAGGGACTCGATCTCGGCGGCGTAGAGGGCGGTGGGGGAGGGGGAGAGCGCGGGGCGCAGGGTGCGCAGGAAGGTGGCGAGGAGGGCGTGCATGCGCTTCGTGCGGCGCAGGAGCGCGCGCAGGGCCGACAGGAGCGTGGTGTGTAGGGTCATTATTGCGGTGCGGATGCGGTGGGCGAGGGATGGGGTGGTCGGTGGGGGGGGGACGGAGGTCATGGAGGCATAGGTATATAAGGGTGAGGCACGCGCGCACGGCGGTGGTGGCTGGAACGTGGGATAGGAGGGTGGCGCGGCTGAAGGGGGCGATGACGGTGGTGAGGTAGGGTGAGGTGAGGTGGGGTTGTAGAGGCCGAGAAGGGTTCGAGGTAGGTCGGAGGGAGGTTGTCTCGTATGTTTGCTGGGGCGCGGTGGATCGGGTTCGGCGATGGTCCGTAGCAGATGGGCCCGTGTGTGCGTATGTAGTAGATTGTGGGGTGATGGTAGCGCGCGCGCGTTTGTGCGAGTAGGGGAAAAAAAGCACGAGGTTGTAGGAGGGTTGGGTGGATGTGGATGTGGGAAGGAGCGGATGAGGTTGAGGCTACACGACGACGAAAGCAGCCTGCCTCCACATCCTCTGGTTGTCTCTCAGGGGAGATGAGACTGGGATGGGGAAGGAAGCGCGGGGGGAGGGGGGAGGGGGTTGGGGGGGGGGGGTAAGAGAGAGCTGATGGGACAGAAGGAACGAGCGGTAGTATAGGGTGGGGTAGGAGGTAGCAGAGAGGAGGTAGTGGTAGTATACCAGGGCAGGCCAGATTAAAGGGGAAAGAGGAAGCAGGGCAGGCCAGAGACAGACGAGACAGACAAGAGAGACGAGAGTTGGAATTTGAGTAGTAGAGTGTAGGCGTGGATGGGGCAGCTAGTGGTCGTAGTGTCGGCGGTACTCGGCAAGCAGATTAGCAGCGATTGTCGTCGGCGGCTCTGGTACTGAACGGGGGTAGTAGGAGCTAAACGGGCGTAGGAGTGGTAACCTGCAACGTTCCATCTCATCCCCGTCCAACTCTATCTAGCAGGGTACTACTCTATCTAGCAAAGGTAACCTGTCTAACAAAGTACTTTGGGTGCTATAGTATATTACTATATAATTAAAGTACTTCTCTAACCACGCTACTCCACTTCCACTACCACAACTAACAACTACCACTTCCACTCACTTCCACTACCACTACCACTACCACTACCACTACCACAACTAACAACTACCACTTCCACTCACTTCCACTACCACTACCACTACCACTACCACTACCACTACCACTACCACTACCACTACCACTACCACTACCACTACCACTACCACTACCACTACCACTACCACTACCACTACCACTACCACTACCACTACCACTACCACTACCACTACCACTACCACTACCACTACCACTACCACTACCACTACAACTACAACACACTACTCGAGTACCACTACCACTACCACTACCACTACCTCAACAACTACCACAACAACTACCACTACCACTACAACTACAACAACAACAACTACCACTACCACTACCTCAACTAAGTTAGTACAACTCCACCAAGTTACTCGGCCTCCTGCGGGTGGAACACCAGCGCCGGTATTGGAGTAACTAACGATGCTACAGTACTCAGAGATCAGTACCACCACAATCCACAACCACAATCCACCACCACACAACCACCACCACCACCATATCCACCACCACAACCACAACCACATCCACAATCTACAATCCAACGCTTCAAATGGAAAGAGGTTGATGCCAATTCCTCGATTGGCAGTGACAGCGGCTGCAGCGGCTGCAGCGGCAACAGAACTGTGGCAACATCTCCCAAACATTGCCGCATCCGGCCCGACGACCTGCCTTACCCTGCCTGCCAAGTCTCAAAGAAGGCAGAAAGGACGTGACTGACGGGTGACGCCGACCACCAAGCCGACCATACAACGTCAACTCCCAAAGGCAGGGAGCGGGGAGGGGCGGGAGGGGATGGGGGGGGATATCACCCCCTCCCTCCTCCCTCCTCCCTCCTCCCTCCCAGGTGGGGTATGGAACGTCACTGTTGCCCCGCGTCGGCATGGATGGGGTTCTCCAATTCCCACGTTTCTTCTTCCCCACCTACGTAGGCTTCGGGGATGACCAACCCACCACCATCGTCACCACCATCGACGCCGCTTCGGTCGGTGGGGGGTCGTGGTCAGTACTGTACTCTTCACAGACCTGTCCACGAGCCGGCGGGGAGGGCGGGGACTGGAGGTAGATATGCCATCAGGGTCCCCGCCAGGGGGAGGGTTGGATAGGTATTTTCTTTTCTTTCATACACCCGATCCTATACTTTCATACATAGTGGCTTGGTGTTTTGTTATATGAAGTAATATCGTGAGAAGAGGGGATGTTGTCTTGGTTAATATACCACCTACCTACCAACCTACCGACCTACCTGCTGAGCTTGTCTAAGATCTATTTTGTCTACCTCGAGCTGGCTCTACGAAGATAAACTGCTGTTGCGTCGTTCATCCATCCATCAATCCACCATCCTCTTATCTACACCTTCACACAACACAACCGCAGCCATGCGTCTCATCATCCGCGAGAATTCAGACTCGGCGTCCGAGTATATCGTCAACTATACCATTAGTATGCCTCGCTCCATTCTCACTTCACACCTCACTTCCTCCCGCCACTTCACTCTCGCACCCAACTCACATCCCCCAACTCTCACGTCCCTCCCACTCAAATCCCACCCTCCCACGGTTCAACCCAACTAACACACACCCCACAGACAGAATCAAACACTTCAACCCCACGCCCGCGCACCCCTTCGTCCTCGGTCTCCCCACCGGCTCCAGCCCAGTCGTCATCTACCGCCTCCTCGTCGCCGCCTACAAAGCGGGCCGCATCTCCTTCGAGAATGTCGTCACCTTCAACATGGACGAATACATCGGCATCCCCCAGAACCACCCTTCCTCCTACCACACTTTCATGTACACCCACCTCTTCGCCCACGTCAACATCCCCCCGCAAAACATCCACATGCTCTCCGGCACCGCCCCCAACCTCGAAGCCGAGTGCCTCGCCTACGAGGCCGCCATCCGCTCTGTCGGCGGAATAGACCTCTTCCTCGGCGGCATCGGTCCAGATGGACACATCGCCTTCAACGAGCCCGGATCCTCCCTCGCGAGTCGCACGCGCGTCAAGACGCTCGCGTATGATACCATCCTCGCGAATGCGCGGTTCTTCGGAGGGGACGTGGAGAAGGTGCCGAAGATGGCACTGACGGTGGGGGTGCAGACCGTGTTGGAGGCGAGGGAGGTGGTGATTGTTATCACTGGGGCGCACAAGGCGTTGGCGCTGCAGAGGTGTATTGAGGGGGGTGTGAATCATATGTGGACGCTGTCGAGTCTGCAGTTGCACCCGCACCCGATGATTGTGGTTGACGAGGACGCGACGTTGGAGTTGCAGGTTAAGACTGTGAAGGTGAGTTCCCTCCGCCCCGCCCCGCCCCTTCTGGGAGCAACCCGCTAATAATCCAACCCGCAGTACTTCAAATCCATCGAAGCCGTCGCCGCCTCCCAGGGCTTCGAGCAGATCCTCCCCTCCGCCGCGCGCACCGGCCCCCGGCCCCCCGCCATCGACGCCCACTACGTCAACGGCGCCAACGGGATCACCACCAACGGCACTGTCCCCACCAAACTCGCGCCCACCATCTTGGCGCCGCAGCCGACGACGAGCATGTTGCTTAGTGCGCCGGCGACGGATTATCCTGTCAGGAGCGCTACGCCGGAGTTGGTGCCGGATAGTATGGCGTCGAGGATTGAGAGTGCGGGGGATGTGGAGCTGAAGGGGGACTTGGAGGTGGACAGTATGGCGTCGAGGATTGAGGCGTAGTGGGTGGGAGGGAAAGGGAGGGGGGGGTTGGATGGATGAAAGGAGAAAGTGAGAGAGGGAGAGAGGGATGAACGGAGTGAAATTGAATGGACAAACGGAAAGGGGCAGATGAAAGCGTGATGCGCGGCTGGACGGACATTTTCTGTAGATATTATAACTTACCTGTTAATACCCCACCCTTCCCTCTGCCATGCAACACCGCGATAATATGGAAAGGCCGTATATGCTGTGGAATGAAGCAATGTCTGCAGAAGACGTGTAGTCGTCTCGGAGGGGAGGGTTAGTTGAAAGGTACTTTGGGATTGGTGGTGGTTTGGGCGGGAGGTGAGGTATTTTTTGGTTAGAGTTGCTTGGGAAGAGGGTCAGAATAATGGAGTCAGTCGTCGGTATAACATTGTGGGAGTCACGTCTTACTGCTGTGCTATAATCTCCCCCCCCTATCCCTTCCTGCAGCATCTTCAACCTCAAATTCAACCTTCGTCCTCTCAACAACGACACCTATCCAACATACCACCCCATGTTATACCGCCCTCTCGGCTACAACCTCCAGCCCTTCACCGTGATGGCTGTACGAGTAAGTACGTACAGCATATCCCCATCACACACACCGCCCTTCCAGATCATCTCATACTAATCACAACGTAGACCACGCCGCTTGACTCACCATGCTCACCGTGCATGCCAACCAAAACATGGCTCTTGCCTCACAAGGCCGTGGTTATGCCTGTTCGCTATTCGTGCCTTAGTGCCTTAGTGCCTTAACATCATCGACAATCCGACCCTACTCGAGTACCAACGCCACTAAACCCTATGTAGCGCCCGAAGCCTGTGAAAAATGCGGGAATGTGGTGGCTTCGGCGTGTTTGGCTTCGGCCTTGGGCCTTTACTTATGCAAAAACACTAACTAACCTCTACTACAGTCATAGTCCCGTAAATACCATCGAGATAGCGTAAATATCGAGATATCGAACGTATTTTGGCACTTGTGCTCCTTCAATTTATACTCTACTCCCTCCGCTGCTAACCTTTCCCACTGGCTCCCTTGTCCAGCGCGTTCCTGGCATCGGGACGCCATGAAATTGGGGTAAAATGGAAAAAAGTTGATTTATAAGGGTCCTGTCAGGATCCCCACCATTTACATAGCCCTTAGCATATTCCCAGTCGTCGTATAGGTTGCTTGCCTTTCTTTTTTTACCCTATCTCCTCTACTCCCCCCTCTCTCCTCTCTTCACCTCTTTGCTCTCTTTCTCTCCCCACTCCCCTCCCCCCCCCCTCCTTTTCTCCCCCCGTCTCCTTCGTTTGGCACCTCATCCGGGCTCAGCCTCGCCCTCACACCACCACATACTGGTCTCACGATATCATACTCTCCATACCACCCGCCTTACAACCTACCTACCGCCCTTAGTGAACAACACTCACCCTCAACCAATCATCGGGCTCTCCCGCAATGGCTGACACCGCCATCCCCCCCGTCTCCTCGGCGCCCTCCCGCTCCTCCTTCGAAACGGCAACCGACCCCGAGAAGCAGCGTGAGGCCGCCCGCAGCAGCAACCCGAATGGCTTCGTCCAGCCCACCAGCGGCGTCTCCGTCGCCGGTGCTGAAGCCGAGTTCGCCTCCCTGGAGAAGGAGCTGACGAACATCTCCTGCGTGGCCACGCGCAAATCCGAGGCTGGCGCCAACGGCGAAAAGGACGTCGAGAAGGTCAGCTCGACAAGCACGGTTAGCGAACCCTTTGATCTCGAGGGCACGCTCAGGGGAAACAGAGAGGCGGACGAGGTGGCCGGGATCCGTGCCAAGAAGATTGGGGTTCTATGGGACGGTCTGACCGTGAGGGGCCATGGTGGGGTTGCGAATTTCATCAAGACGTTCCCGGATGCGTTTACGGACTTCTTTAATGTCTGGGCCACGGGGAAGCAGATCCTTGGTCTGGGGAAGAAAGGGCGCGAGGTCGACATCCTGAAGGGATTTAGGGGGTTGGTGAAGCCGGGAGAGATGGTCCTCGTGCTTGGAAGACCGGGCAGCGGGTGTACCACTTTCTTGAAGGTCATTGCGAATCAGCGGTTTGGATATACGGGCGTCGAGGGGGATGTGTTTTACGGACCTTTCGATGCGCAGACATTTGCGAAGCAGTACCGTGGGGAGGCTGTGTACAACCAAGAGGACGACGTGCACCACCCCACCCTAACCGTGGCCCAGACGCTGGCCTTTGCGCTGGACACGAAGATCCCCGGAAAGCGACCTGAAGGGATGTCAAAAGGGAACTTCAAGGAGCGCGTCATCCAGACGCTGCTGAAGATGTTTAACATCGAGCACACAGCGAACACCGTCGTCGGGTCAGCGTTCGTCCGCGGTATCTCGGGGGGAGAGCGCAAGCGCGTCTCCATCGCTGAGATGATGGTGACAGGCGCGACAGTCTGCGCGTGGGATAACTCGACGCGAGGGCTCGATGCGTCGACTGCCCTGGACTATGCAAAGTCCCTGCGTATCATGACCAACATTTACCAGGCTACGACGTTCGTCTCGCTCTACCAGGCCAGTGAGAACATCTACAAACAGTTCGACAAGGTGCTCGTCATCGACAGCGGTAAACAGGCGTTCTTCGGCCCGGCCTACCAGGCGCGTGGATACTTCGAGTCGCTCGGCTTCAAGGAGAAGCCACGTCAGACTACCCCCGACTTCCTCACTGGATGCACCGACGAGTTCGAACGCGAATACGTCGATGGTTACGAGCCGCACACCCCCGACACCCTTGCTCAGGCCTTCACCGATTCCAGCTTCTCTGAGTCTCTCATGAGCTCCATGGACGCCTACAAGACCTCTCTCGAGCCCAACCGTCAGAGCCACGAGGACTTCCGCGTCGCCGTTACCGAGAGCAAACGCGGTCGCGGCACCGCTCACTCCGTCTACTCCGTCCCCTTCTACATGCAGGTCTGGGCTCTCATGCGCCGCCAGTTCCTCATCAAGTGGCAGGACAAGTTCCAACTGTGTGTGTCCTGGGGCACATCCCTCATCATCGCCATCGTTGTCGGTACCACCTGGCACAACATCCCGCAGACAAGCGCTGGCGCCTTCACGAGGGGCGGAGTTTTGTTTATTAGTTTCTTGTTCAATTGCTTTCAGGCTTTCGGCGAACTGGCGAGCACTATGCTGGGTAGGCCGATTGTCAATAAACATCGCGCGTATACGTTTCATCGGCCAAGCGTCCTGTGGGTAGCCCAGATCGCGGTCGATCTATCGTTTGCAGCGATGCAGATCTTTTTGTTCTCGCTGATAGTTTACTTCCTGTGTAACCTGGCGCGGGATGCAGGCGCATTCTTCACGTTTTATATTGTTATTGTGCTAGGGTACTTGACGATGACGCTGTTTTTCAGAGTCATTGGATGCTGGTATGTAGATTTGGATTTGGATCAGTGCTTTTCTTCTTTGCTGACTTTGTGGATAGCTGCCCTGATTTCGATTATGCTATCAAATTCGCCGTCATCACGATCACGTTCTTTGTCCTTACCACGGGGTATTTGATTCAGTACGAGTCCCAGAAGGTATGGCTGCGTTGGATATTCTGGATTAACCCATTCGGTCTCGGCTTTTCATCTCTCATGGCCAATGAATTTAGTCGCATAGACTTGACCTGCACAGGCCAGTCCTTGATTCCCCACGGCCCGGGTTATGGAAACATAAGCCACCAAGTCTGCACGCTCGCCGGCAGTATCCCTGGGAACCCGATCGTCTCTGGCAAGGACTACATCCAGACATCGTTTGCGTATAGCCCGAGCGACCTTTGGAGAAACTTCGGAATACTCGTCGTTCTAAGCGCCTTCTTCCTAACCGTCAACATCCTCACGGGCGAGCTGCTGAACTTCGGCGCTGGCGGAAACGCAGCGAAGACCTTCGCCCACCCAACCAAAGAGACCGACGAGCTAAACGCGTCTCTCATCGCCACCCGCGAGGCGCGACGCACCGGAAAAGTCGAGGGAACAAGTTCTGACCTCAAGATCGAATCCAAGGCCGTCCTGACCTGGGAGGGGCTCAACTACGATGTGCCGACTCCTTCCGGGCAACTGCGCCTCCTGAACAACATCTACGGGTACGTGAAACCTGGAGAGTTGACAGCCCTGATGGGTGCGTCAGGCGCGGGCAAGACCACTCTTCTCGATGTGCTCGCATCGCGCAAGAACATCGGCGTCATCTCCGGTGACGTTCTGGTCGATGGTCTGAAACCTGGCACTGCATTCCAGCGCGGAACTTCGTATGCGGAGCAGCTGGATGTGCATGAGCCGACACAGACTGTTCGTGAGGCCCTGCGCTTCTCGGCTGATCTCCGTCAGCCCATTGATGTCCCGCAGTCCGAGAAGTATGCTTATGTCGAGGAGATCCTGTCACTCCTTGAGATGGAGGATATGGCCGATGCGATTATTGGACACCCCGAGAGCGGGCTCGCTGTTGAGCAGCGCAAGCGCGTTACGATTGGTGTTGAACTTGCTGCCAAGCCGGAGTTGCTACTCTTCCTCGACGAGCCGACTTCAGGCCTCGACTCTCAATCTGCGTTCAATATCGTTCGTTTCCTGAAGAAGCTCGCGGCTGCCGGCCAAGCTATCCTCTGTACTATCCATCAGCCAAACGCTGCTCTCTTCGAGAACTTCGACCGTCTTCTTCTCCTCCAGCGCGGTGGACGCTGTGTCTACTTCGGCGACATCGGGTCGGAGGCCACAACTCTTCTTGATTACTTCCACAGACACGGCGCCGATTTCCCTGGCAATGCCAACCCCGCAGAGACCATGCTTGATGCCATCGGCGCCGGCCAGGCCGCGCGTGTTGGTGATCATGACTGGGCGGACCTCTGGGCCAAGAGCCCCGAACTCGCAACCGTCAAGGCGCAGATCACCAGCATGAAAGCGAAGCGGATGGCCGAGGTGGGTGCTGCGACCGAAACCGCCGACGCGCGCGAGTTCGCGACGCCTCTGATGCACCAGCTGCGGATCGTCCAGGCTCGCACGAATCTCTCGTTCTGGCGGTCGCCAAACTACGGCTTCACGCGCCTGTTCAACCACGTCGTCATTGGCCTCGTTACAG